ATATACTGCGATATCTCGAATATCGTGCCAACTGAATCATGAGGCGGCCTGTGTGCAGCACATTCAGCTGGAGAACATCATAAACGAGAGATTCAATTGAGTCTCCCGTGAAGACCAACTGGATCTTCTTTGAAATTGATGTGGCTTCGATGTCGAGCGGATTTTGTGGTTGAAAAAAAAACAACTTACGCAACCTTTTAGAATTCGGAGGAAAAAAGTAACTTGTAAAAACTACTCACAGTGTTGCTGAAATCCGTCGACAGCCCACGACCGGTTTCGCCCTTCCACTTCGGGCTCATCAGGTAGGCGCACTCCCCGAGTTTCCGTCAACCTCATGTTCTACTTGAAACCAAATTGCACGAAGTTAGCGGAATACACTCATTTGCGAACAAATTTGGTTTTGTGAGAGACTCACCTGGAACCCAGCTGAATCTCTGGTTTACGATTTTTCAGCAACCTTATGAGTAGTGTATTACTTATATACATGTATCGCGACATCTCGAATATCGTAGCAACTGAAACATGAGGTGACCTGGTGCAGTTGCTTAAAAGCATCATAAATGAGATATTGAGCCGAGTTCCAGGTGAGTCTCTCGAAAAAAACAAATTTGCTTGCAAATGAGTGCATTTTGCCACCAAATCCACTTTGTTGATATCAAAATCCCCACAGCGTGCATGATCTACACGAGATCGACAAGCACTATTCCCTGTATGTAATCGGTACTCACTAATGGACAAAAATCTGTGCTTTCAACACCAACACGTTCAAGAAATGAGGATATTCCGTAATACACTGATTGGCAAACTAATTTGGTTTTGCGCAAGACTCATCTGGAACCCAGCTGAATCTCTCGTTTATGAATCCAAGTTGCCTACTTGATGAGTTCCATGAAGGGCGAAACTGGTGATGGGCTGTCGAAGAGTTTTCAGCGAGTAGTGTATTACGTATCGCGTTTGCAAATAGGTGTATTTGGCCAGACGTTTTTTCTCTTTTTGGAGTTCAGTAATTAAGTGTACTCCCCAGAAAGAAGGTTTTTAAAGAGAGGTCAAGCTCGGATTTGCCTGAGTCTCCCGTTAACGACAAATGAGTGCAGTTCGTCAACTGAGTACAATTGGGTGTTCAAGTAGAACATCAGTTTGACAGAAAATCGGGGTCTTTGCCAGCCCAGCTAAGAGGAAACCTGTATTGCATTGTCGATACGTTTTCTGAAAAGTGTGTTTGGCGCCAAGATACTAGGTTATGCCCTACGATTACCTTTGTTCGGGCTATTCGAACCTCCAAGCCCTGATTGGCCAGTTTTATGGTACCTTTCTTGGGTGATTCAGACCCTGGCGCTGCTCACCAGCCACCAATTGTTCTTCCTGCAGCATCTGCTACCAAGTCCTCACTTTATCAAGATTCGTTTCATAGAATTCCCGAACTTCCTTTTCACGTGATTATGGAGTGCTCTAGTACTAGTACACTCAGCTCAGAACACACCTGGGTGAACACAACACTGTGCAAAGCAATACTGGTCGGAAGTTACCGTGGTCTCCAATCCAATGTTTGACTAGCCTCACTGTGGTGGACACGATCTGATCGGGTTACTAACTTCCGATGGCGGCGAGATGGCCCAAGTTGTTAGAGCGCGAATTTACTCGCCGAAAGGTCCGTGGTTCGAATTCGACCTCTCGAGATCCCCAGTCTAGGCTTGGGCAACCTGGCAGTATCCCAGCCCTCATGCCTCCTTCGGGTGGCATGGCAGCTAGGCACCGAAAGGGTGCTACAGCTGAACTTACTTCTGAAGGCAAATCAATGACAAAACACGATAGAATTGGCCAAAAACCCAACTGCTGTTACCGTTTAAAACCTGATTCTACATATTCGCTGTGATATCCCGACTCCATCGGTGCCAAGTCACTTCCCTCTGTTAACTCGCTACCTGGTAGCAGATGTGAACACCCCTCGCGTCCTGCTAGTTTGAGATTGAATCTTTTGTGGGTGGAACAATGATTTCATACATTGTATCCAAAAAGATGCAAATTTTTTGCCTCCCAGATTTCAGGCTTATGGTTGCAGCATACAATTCACGTGCTGATTGATCAGAGAGCTAACAGTAGTTGACCAACCATGTCACGCTAGTTGAATGCGGTCGTATGACCCCGTAACCGTACCATCCGTGTGGAGTCTGATCCAATAAGATGCTGAACTCACATTGATTTGCGCCTGTAAGACCTTAAAACCTGTGGTAACGACCGTCGGTTACCGGGGCTCAATTATTTTGTATATACATAGATAAACCGAGTAAACTCAAATCAAACCGTGAAGGCTGGACGGACTCGAAACTGTGGAGGTGAAACGATACGATAGGAGTTTCGAGCAGGTACGAATCAGGCGGAATAAGCAAAAATGATAGTCGATAGGATTGTTCAGGTGTTGCCCTATTTGGAGTGGTCCACGGAAACTCTGATGATCGATTTTCCCGAGGAGTGGTCAGTGTGTTCTAGTTGCACGAGACTAGCGAACTAGATTCATTTGCATGTCACTTCGAGGGACTCGCCTGGAACCAAGCTGAATCTCTCGTTTATGATGTCTTCAAGCAACCGGATGTGTTGCATAAAGGCTGCCTCATGTTCCAGTTGGCAAATGAGTGTATTCCACCAATCTCATGAAATTAAAGGCTGCCTCATGTTCCAGTTGGCAAACCTCATGAAAGTTGGGCTCAAGCAGAAGATCAGGTTGACGGATACTCGTGGATAGTGCCTACCTGATAGTCCCCAAGAAGGGTAAAGTTGGTCGTGGACCGTCAAATAGCTTTCAGCAACCCCATGAGTAGTGTGCTATGTCTAGATAATAACCAGACAACAACCAATTTTGGTTGTGACAGGAGACCCACCTGGATAAAATCCGGGTGAAGAACAACATAAGCAGGAGATTCAGTTTGGTTCCCGGTGGGTCTTCCTTGAAAGCCAACTTGGTGAGCCAGTGAGTGTATTTCGCTAGCCACCCGAGATAGGAAAGGGTGCACGCTCATCTGTTTTTCTTTTCAAATTAAAAATGGAACAGATGTGATGACTCGGAAATCGAAGATACCAACGAAAGCATTTACGTTTGATAGTCACCTGTCATAATCAAAACAGAACTGTATGATCAAGATTCCCACCTTTGGTGGTTCCTTAAACCGAACAGAAGTTTATTGGGCTTACCCAGGTATGGATAGGAATAGACTGATAAGGGAAACTACTCACAAGGTTGCTGAAAACTCTTCGACAGCCCACGACCGGTTTCACCCTTCTTGGGGCTCATCAGGTAGGCGTAGTCCCCGGGTTTCCGTCAACCTTATGATCTACTTGAACCCAAATTGCACTGTTTTCGAGAAATACACTCATTTTCAAGTCGATTTGGTTTTCACAAGAGATTCAACTGAATCCCTCGTTTACGATACTCTACTACCAGTCGTGGGCTGCCGAGAGTTTTCAGTGAGTAGTTTCCTTTACGAAAATACACTGCGATATCTCGCATATCGTGCCAACTGAAACATGAGGCGACCTGTGTGCATCACATTCAGTTGTAGAATATCATAAACGAGAGATTTAGTTGAGTCTCTGGTGAAAACCAAATTGATTTGCAAATGAGTGTATTTCTCGAGGAATAGAGTGAATTAGCAATATTTTTATTGAATTGAATTACGCAGATTTTTCTGGAAAATTCGTTTTAAATTAGCGGAATCGCACAGGTGACCCCTGATGGATACCTTTTGCTCCTCGCTTGGGAAATATCTTACTTCCTGGCGGGTCGGTGATTCCCGATGCGGAACCTCTGGTTTACACAGTTCATGAAAACCCAAGTGCGCAACCGACAGATACACTCATCCGCATACCTATTTGGTTTTTACGGGAGATTCGCGTGAACCCCAGGTGAATCATCTTTCGTTTATGATGTTCTTCGACTGAATGTGCTGTTTCAGTTGGTACGATGGTTGAGATATCGCAGTATATTTTCATAAAGGAACCTACTCAGCAACCTTGTGGGTAGTTTCCTTTATGGCCTCGGAATGATTTCAATATACTTTGACAAAGCTCACCGGTTAGAAGTTTGCTGAAGGCGATTCGACAGTATTCGAGAAGTACACTCATTTGCAAATCAATTCTATTTTCACGAGACACCCAACTAAATCTCTCATTATGATGTTCTACAACTGAATGTGCTGCACACAGGCTGCCTCATGATTCAGTTGGGTCGATATTCGAGATATCACAGTAAATTTTCATAAAAGAAACTATTCACAAGGTCGGATATCGCGTCTCGCCCTAAGAAGGCCGACATCGGTTGTGGACTGTCGATGCTTCAGTTTCCCAAGTGTGCACCCTTCTCAAGAGCTCAGCAACCCCCGAATAGAGATTTTCTCTCTGTATGGTACACTTGCTCTTCAGTAGTGAATTTCAGACACTGCAGAACGAACTGTTCCAAATAATTTAACTAATGTAAATTAGTGGATTTAAATTCATATTCATTAAAAATAGGCAAATACAAAGTAAAGCTCAGATGTACACACCACTCACAAGGTCGCTAAAAACTCTTGGACAGCCCATGACCATTCTGGACTTCATCAGCTAGGTGCAGTCTCAGAGTTTCCATCAACTTTGCGTTCTGTTTCAACACCAGATTGTACGTAACCGGTGAAATGTACTCACTTTCAAATCGCGTTGGTGTCAGCGAGCAAGTCAACTGAATGTGTTGAACAAAGATCGGTTTGTGTTTCAGTTACTCGAGACACTGCAGCAAATTTTCTCGACAAAACGTACCACTCTCAAGTTTGCCGTGGACATTTCGACCGCTCACTGTCAGATGCACTATTCTTGTGGAGTTGACCAGCTGGACACGGTCCCCGAGTTTGAAGTATGGAAGCCTTTTTTACGGCAGCCCCAAAAGTAATGCGATTTATCGAGAAACTAGCGATTGTTTTGACTCAGAAATCAATTTTCGGCGTCAGTGACCGATGGAGGGAAACGGAGGCAGTGAAAAGCACTAATCCGTACGTATTCCTTCAAGTACAGTGCAAATGTTGACGGTTTCAACCGGCAATGCGTACAGGCTCCACAGCGTCGTAGGTGGTCTGGAGTTGGCCGTATTTTTAGGCGAATTCGAGGACGAAAATCCCCAAGAATTCGATCCAAAACAAACCAGAAAGCTGTCTTCAAATGGTAGCAGAACAATCCTAGTAACGTCTTTTATGCGTGTGTAACCAGTGTCCCTCTACAGAGGTCACCTTCAACCAGTCTCCCTAAACTCCCGCCAGTGCTATTTCTAATGGTTACAGCTAGAGTAGATTTATTCGCCAAACCTCAATGTCTCATAACTAAACGGTTTACCTGATCCAACGTACCTGAGTTACTACAATATCTGCCCCTTTGGTCGCCGGAGCGAGGTTTCACAGCACTTTTTGTTTGGATTTGCCTTGATAGTGTTTATCGTATCCTCCCGTCGTGCGTAGTAATTCATTGGTGGTCAGAAATTCATCTCGCTATTATGAGGGTATGGAGTCGAATTAAAACATGATATTAGCGAACTAATTTGGTTTTGCGACAGACTCACCGGGAACCCAGCTGAATCTCTCGGTTTTGGTGTTTCCAGGCAACTGAATGTGCTGCACCAGACCGTCTCATGTTTCAGTTGCTAAGACACTCGGGATGTCGCAATGCACTACTCATAAGGTCGCTGAAAACTTCTCGACAGCCCACGACCGGTTTCGCCCTTCTTGGGGCTCATCAGGTAGGCGCAGTCCCCGAGTTTCCGTCAACCTTGTGTTCTACTTGAATCAAAATTGCACGAAATTAGCAAATATACACTCATTTGCAAACTAATTTGTTTTTTTTTGCGAGACTTACCTGGAACCCAGCTGAATCTCTCAGTTTTTATGTTTCCAGGCTTGAAAGCGTCGTAAACAAAACATGGTATTATTTTGATGTAACGCACACTACAACACCGTAAAGGACAGGTGAGGAAGTCGGGCTTGATTGGGCGGCCTGACGAAAGCGGTGTAGATGAGTCGGCGACCGGGTCACAGCAGGATGAGTTATCTTCTCTGTAACGGATTAGCAACACAGAAAAAATGTCCACCGGCGTGAACAACATTACTCTCGTTCGAAGAAGTCATAAAGGGTGTTGGCGGGTTGCTCAAATCCCCTGAGACGACGATAAAATATCAATCCTAGGCCGGAACGACAAATTCAGGTCAGTTTGCTTTCACACCTGGCGACACACGGAAAGATCTGGTAACCTGGGCGGTGCCTCTGGAGTGGGACACCGTTAATTATAGGACTGCGTAGGAGATACAGGACTGTTTTCTACGGATCTGTTTTATCACATAAGTACTGGCGATGGAAGGGGGCGTGTCCGGTCGTGTAACGGTCTGGTGGGAACAAAGCAATCTACGCTTGTGCACAGTACTGGACGGAAACAAACTGTCGACGGGAATCGAACTAAGGCACATTTGTGTTACGTGAACACTACATAATTTTTTTTGAAAAAAAGCTGTTATGATCACGTCGTGGGCAACCACCCTGACAATAATTCTACCGCTGTGGGGCTTTCTATTTCATAGGTATTCTTCAGAGTAAAACTTATCGTATCCTCTAAACACAGACCAAGTGTAGTTGGTAACCAAGGTTAAACCTCCCACAGAATAATTTTGTTTTTTTTTGATGCGCGTTCATTTTGAGAACATTGCATAATCATGACAGAAACTACTCTTCCCTTGGGATGAAATTCGTGTCACGTGTTTGCTCTAGAGTACTCAATGTCACGTCTTGTTCGGGCTCTTCAAATAGGTTTTCGAACGTCTAATTCAAGTTGCAAGCGCCCGATTTATTTAAACTTGTTGTCAAGAGGCTTAGAGGACGTTCACGATCAGTATATGACCTTTACTGAAAGTCTCCTACTACTTTGATTCGCCAGAGAACCTTTCTGTACTCTGTCTCCTATGACCTCCAATCCGTCGTTCTATGCAACTTTCACCGCGCTCATCCTGATCATCCCTCCTAATCGCACTTTCCCGTTGAAGGTCTTGTCGTAGCTAGACAGCAAACCTAAACGTAGCCAACTGATAGCTAACTAGCTAGCTATCGGAGCTCCAGATGGCTCAGTGTTCCAAGCACAAACTTACGGACCGGAATGTCCTTGGTTCGGTGCCCTGTCTAGGCTTAGGCAATCCGGTAGTATTCCACCCGGTCATCTTGTTTCCCCCGGGTGACATGACAGTTAGGAACCGAAAGGGTGTTTGTTACGGCTGAACGATACGACCCGTAATCTGGAACATGGATACCCTGATAATCGGTTCTCCACGAACGTGTTCTACTAACTACTGAAATCAAAAGATAGTCAGTGTATACACTGGGCCCACTTTGTGGATGACCCTGCAGGTTTTAGCAGGCAGTTCGCATGATAAGACGCGATCTCTGATGACCTTCGGTGAATTAGTCCTATACATGCTCAAATTTCCATAGGAACTGACAGTTTTACCCTGATGAGCTTAAATACGGAACCTGAAGTAAAACAGTGGACTGCTTCTGTCAAGGAGTGTCCCTCCTGCCAAAGTGAGAACAATCCCTTCTGGCAAATAGTTTTGATGTCCAGAATTTTCGAGCTCATCCCCAGAGCCGGAGGGGAAGTGCCTGCAGTTCTGTAGGTGGCGGAACACTGATGAGTGGTTGACCGACGGGCTGATTAAACTCCCAAATTCACTAGTAGAGGTGTCCCCGTGTTCCAGATCGCTGGGCCATGGCTGAAGGAAAATGTACTTTCACTGTCCACCTTTTCGTTCAACGGGTTTATTGCTGTTAGAGCATGTGGTTTGACCTTGGCCAGCTGCACGCACCACGAGTGACAGTCGAGTAATCAACCCGTGAAAAATCTCGATTCACTGTACTTCTAATCCCTATCGTTTCTGCTGCTTCAAGTAAAGCCATTGGTTTGTCCTCGGCAACCTGCACTACAATAGACAGATAAATAAATATGGAACCCAGCTGAATCTCTCGTTTGTGATGTTCTCAAGCAACGGAATGCGCTGCACCAGGACGCCTCATGTTTCAGTCTCTACGATATTCGAGATATCGTGATACATTTGTAGCTTTGTAATGTACTACTCATAAGGTTGCTGAAAATCCGTCGACAACCCACGACCGGTTTCTCCTTTTTTGGGGCTCATCAGGTAGGCACAGTCCCTGGTGCAGCACATTCAGTTTCC